ATAAGTGTACATGGTTGAAATTTGAAAATCCAACATATTCATCTTGTAAAGTCTACTCCTTGTAGTTTCAAACAATCAATGAATCAATCAAGGGCGCCTCGCAGCCCGCAGACCATGATGATCTGTAGCTACATATAATTTGATACTCGATTGAAAATTTGGATTGCGAAATCAATGTTTGCTGTCCAATTTTGATAACATGACTCGCTAGGCATGTATGACACTAGACCTCAGAGTAATTACTGGCATCAGTCCCACAGACTCCCACTGATAAAATTCATCCTCGTCTTCTCCGAAGAACCCAAAATGTCGTACTCAGTGCACAAGGCTCCCGCTTTACGCAGGGTCTGAGAGAGGTATATGTCGGCTAGCCTTACCCCCATTTTATGGAGAGGCTGCTCCTAAGTCTCAAACCCAAGTGCGACCTCTTCTCCGAAGAACCCAGAAGCAAAATATTTGGCTTCGTTAATCGTTTGTCTCCCCAAATCTCCAGTGGCCGGCCTCAAACAACAAATTAATCACCATACAACAACAACAACAACAACAACAAAGCCTTTTCCCACTAAGTGGGGTCGGCTATATGAATCCTAGAACGCCATTGCGCTTGGTTTTGTGTCATGTCCTCCGTTAGATCCAAGTACTCTAAGTCTTTTCTTAGGGTATTTTCCAAAATTTTCCTAGGTTTTCCTCTACCCCTTCGACCCTGAACCTCTGTCCCGTAGTCACATCTTCGAACCGGAGCGTCAGTAGGCCTTCTTTGCACATGTCCAAACCACCGTAACCGATTTTCTCTCATCTTTCCTTCAATTTCGGCTACTCCTACTTTACCTCGGATATCCTCATTCCCAATCTTATCCTTTCTCGTGTGCCCACACATCCCACGAAGCATCCTCATCTCCGCTACACCCATTTTGTGTACGTGTTGATGCTTTACTGCCCAACATTCTGTGCCATACAACATCGCTGGTCTTATTGCCGTCCTATAAAATTTTCCCTTGAGCTTCAGTGGCCTACGACGGTCACACAACACGCCGGATGCACTCTTACACTTCATCCATCCAGCTTGTATTCTATGGTTGAGATCTCCATCTAATTCTCCGTTCTCTTGCAAGATAGATCCTAGGTAGCAAAAACGATCGCTTTTTGTGATCTTCGCTAGATTGCTCCGGTCATTAGTGTGGATAAGTATATAAATGGATAGAGATAGGAAAGCAAACACAAGATGTACGTAGTTCACCCAGATTGGCTACGTCCACGGAATAGAGGAGTTCTCATTAATTGTGAAGGGTTTACACAAGTACATAGGTTCAAACTCTCCTTTAGTGAGTACAAGTGAATGATTTAGTACAAATGACATTAGGAAATATTGTGGGAGAATGATCTCGTAGTCACGAAACTTCTAAGTACCAGAGTGTGGTATCGTCTTGACTTGCCTTATCTGTCTCATAGGTAGATGTGACATCTTCTCTGAAAGTACTCTTCCTCCATCCAGGGGTGGTATCTTTAATTGGTGGAAATGCACAAGGTAATGTATCAATTTCACTTGAAGCTTACTTGTAGTTTCAGGCTTGGTCAAGTGCGATACAAATCATGTAGTAGGAGTCCACCAAGTCGCCGAGCTAGGGGATCTGCTGAAAGAGGTGACATACAAGGTAAGTAATCAGAGCTCCAAGCAATCAGTCCCAGATCAGAACTTTGATTTCGAGTTCCGGCTGATTGTTCATATTCTCCCTATCTTGCAGGCATCATGAAGGATAAAGAGAAGAAAAATGAGAAGATATGATATGGGATACTTTTGCTTTTGAAGAAGTAACTTTCCACAGGCTTATTCTTGAACTGGGCTGGAGGGTTTTCTGGTTTCCTCCAGAGTATAAAGCCGACTGAATAATTTGAGGGTCAAAACAAGTCCATCAAATCTAAAGTACGTTCGACCCTGCTGATATGGGATACTTTTGCTTTTGACAGAGTAGTGGATGTATCGGCTTGTGTGCTGTTACGCTTGTCTCCCCATGCTTCCTTGTATCCTTCTCACTTGCCCTATCTGTTTCTCAGGCGGATGCGGTATCTTCCCTGGAAGCATAAGATGTTGAAGATGAGTACTCGAGAGCAATGCCAGGTAAGTAATCAGGTAAGGGGTTCCAGGCAGTCAGTTCCTGACTGGAAGCTTGATTCCAAGTGCTAACTGATTGCTCTCTTTCTCCTTGTCTTACAGGTAAGAACAAGGCCAAAGGAAAAGACAGGGAAAAAGCATGATATGGGATACTCTTGCTTTTAACCCTGATGATATGGGATATTCTTGCTCTAGTATAGCTTGTTTGCAGAGGTATTATCGGGGGGAAAGAAAGCTGAATATTTCGAAAGGCTTCGTTGCGAGTGCCCTCTCAGATATGAGGAAGGGTTGAGCATTTTTGCAGGTTTGCCTGTCCGTTGGGGATGGAAGTCGACATATATAGGAGTCTCCCTAACAACAAGTAGTAATGTTATTCCTCTACCATGCTTGGTCATAGCACGGTAGTGGGAGCTGCTAGTTTCACATGTTTTAACTCTGTCAGAGCACTTTGAAAAAGTGGTCTGTGGTATCTGGAAAGCTGATGTTGCGTGTGAAGATTACAGACAAGCTTTATCCAAGGAGATCCGGCTTTTGAAGTTGGGAAAGTGGTGCCTCTTGGGTTTCGAACAAGCAATCCTGTCGAGGATCTGGCTCTCGAGATTCGGAGGACGATGCCTCTTCGATTTTTGAGAAAGCAATCTTGCTGGGGGTCTGGCTCTCGAGATTCGGAGAGCGGTGTCTCTTCGATTTTTGAGAAAGTAATCATGTTGGGAGTCTGGCTCTCAAGATTCGGAGGGCGGTGCCTCTTCAATTTTGGAGCAAGCAATCTTGTTGGGAGTTTTCTCGAATGTGAGTAAAGGTTGGGCATGTTTACTAGTCTACCTTGCCACGAAGCACATAGGTTGACACACAGGGACTTTCCAATTATCCAGCAGTGGTACTGTTCCTTTACTCTTGTGGGTAATAATATGGTAGCTAGACCTTCAAAATTTATGTGTCTAAACTTTGTTAGTGCTGTTTCTTTGCTATTTTTTTACCCTTCTTGGTCAGAGCGATGTAGTGGGAGCTGCAAGCTTCACGTGTCTCAACTTTGTCAGAGAACTTTGGCAAAGTTATCTGTAGTACCCATGAGCTAATGTTGCGTGTGGGAAGTGGGTGATTGAACAGTAAGATTCATGTGCTTTCTACTTCACCAGAAATCTTCGACAGGATGCCCATAATTTCCGCAAAGCTGAGTGTGCGTGTGACAGGTGCTGACAAGGCTGGAAAAGTAGGTGCCTCTTCGATTTCTGAGATCGGCCCCAGCTTTTGAGAAAGTAAGCGCCTCTTTGATTTCTGAGATCGGCCTTCGTGGTCTTTGAGCAGCCCAGCTTTTGAGAAAGCAAACGCTTCTTCGATTTCTGAGATCGACCCTCGTGGTCTCTGAGCAGCCCAGCTTTTGAGAAAGCAAACGCCTCTTCGATTTCTGAGCAGGCGCCTCTTCGATTTCTGAAGCTCCGTCGAGTGCAGATTTTTATAGAGGCTGGCATTAAGTTCCAAAGCACACTTGAATCTCCACCAGTAGAAGCTCCATTCTTGCACTTCTAAAATCTTGATTTGTCCGACCTCATCTCTCTTCAACACCTTTGAAAATGTCTGGCCCCTCCGACCGTCGTTTTGACTTGAACCTTGTTGAAGAGGCAGCCACGCCTTCTCCAGACAATATATGGCGCCCATCCTTCGTCTCCCCTACTGGTCCTCTTACCGTCGGGGATTCCGTGATGAAGAATGATATGACCGTTGCGGTGGTGGCCAAGAACCTTCTCACTCCCAAAGATAACAGACTACTTTCCAAACGGTCTGATGAGTTGGCTGTTAAGGATTCTCTGGCTCTCAGTGTTCAGTATGCAGGTTCTGTGTCTAATATGGCCCAACACCTATTTGCTCGAACCCGCCAAGTTGAATCATTGGCGGCTGAAGTGATGAGTCTCAAATAGGAGATTAGAGGGCTCAAGCATGAGAATAAACAGTTGCATTGGCTCGCACATGACTATGCTACAAACATGAAGAGGAAGCTTGACCAGATGAAGGAATCTGATGGTCAGTTTTTACTTGATCATCAGAGATTTGTGGGTTTGTTCCAAAGGCATTTATTGCCTTCGTCTTCTGGGGCTGTACCACGTAATGAAGCTCCAAATGATCAACCTCTGATGCCTCCTCCTTCTAGGGTTCTGTCCAGTACTGAGGCTCCGAATGATCCCCCTCCGGTGCCTTCTCTTTCTGGGGCTCTACCGACTGCTGAGACTTCTCCTAAGCAACCTTTGTGAAGGCTCCCTAATGTTTGTTTATTTTGACTCATGTATATGTACATATTTGTAACTTATCGGGGATATCAATAAATAAGATTTCCTTCATTTCAACGTATTGTGTTAAATACACCAAAGCCTTCTTCGCTAAGTTCTTTGAATTTTCTTTTGTTAAAGCTTGTATGTTGAAGCTTTGTGAGTGGAGCATGTAGGTTGAGGTAGTGTTCCCTTAATTTCCCGAGGGAGGAAAACTTCTCAATTGGAGACTTGGAAAATCCAAGTCACTGAGTGGGATCGGCTATATGAATCTTAGAACGCCATTGTGCTCGGTCCTGTGTCATTTCCTCCGTTAGATCCAAGTACTCTAAGTCTTTTCTTAGAGTCTCTTCTAAAGTTTTCCTAGGTCTTCCTCTACCCCTTCGGCCCTGAACCTCAAATAGGTGGGGGGGGATGCAACACAAAGACTTCCCAGGAGGTCACCCATCCTAGTACTACTCTCTCGCCCAAACTCACTTAACTTCGGAGTTTTGATGGGATCCGGTGCATGTGAGTTGGTATGATCGCCCAAACTCGCTTATCAAATTCAATTCCTTGCATTTGTAGCGCATGACACCATTGCGCATGCATGGAAACGTTCCTATAAGTGTACATTAATCACCATGGCCTAAAAAAATCCATATTTGAATATGTCAACGAAAGAATTATCAAAGAATAACAAGGTTGGGAGGGAGGGAGGTGTAAATTCGACATGAGTAGCAAATTAAGTCTATTCTGTTGTTTGGTTGGCCATATGAGGCCTGAAAAAAATGAAACAAAAACAGCAATTCAACAATCCGAAGATCCGCAATAACGGGAGGCAAATGGCAGGCAATGCAACTGAATCAAGAAACCTCCCCCCCCATCAATAAGTAGCTTAGATTTATCCGAGCCCGAACTAGCCTGTGTCAAAACAATGAACAGCCGCGTGTTACTTTGCATTGCAATGGAGTAGGTCAAGCATGACAGTCGGGAAGAAATCTCAAACTCGAGCATTAAAGCTTTTAACAAAACTCACAAGGATGTTTTAAGTTTAACAATAACAACCTCACTAAATTCTGCAACAGAAGAAAATTTCTTACCAAAAACTTGTCAATCTCTTTAATTAGAGGTGTAAAGATAGAGCAAAATTTCTTTATACCACCCATCACATCACCATTGCCTTCGATTGCCTCCATGAACTTTTCTCTGTCCGTAGAAAGCGCCGGGTAGACCTGTCATTATAGTGATTAATAGTTAGATTTCATCACCATAAAAAGTTCCTTTTTGCCATTTCTTTCAGCGAGGAAAAATGTGAGAATAGTAAACAATCAAGTACTATAATCAAATCATAGAGAACAACCAATGATTAAACCAGTGGATAAGCTAAGCAGACTTTTGCTGCAAGTTTTGACAATTTTCCTCTATCATTCAAAACAGTAACCATATATTAAGGAGGACTTTTCTCTAACATGGGAAAAACACAAATGCTTTCAGATTTAATGAGTGTAATAGCTTCAAGCTTGATCAGATGAGTTCTGTACTTTCTACAGTGCTTAAATTCTTGAACAAGAGAGAAACTTGCATAGAAGAAGTGCTTTCAGTGGATGGAGACATTAAAAATGAGCTCAGCCCCAGTAGTTAAAAAACATATATGCAACTAGGCAGCAGAGGCAACTTGCAGAATATAATTGCCATAGTTGTATTTAACTCGATCGGGCATAGAAATTTGATTCCAGCATAGACATTCAAACGACCAGTTAAGTACGAACAATGTTTGAGCACCAAATATTTTAAGGGTATCAAAGACATTACTTTACTCAATGTATTATTTGGTTCAAACCATTCCTGTCGTTCAAACCATATTTTCAGGGTCTTGCCATAGGCATCTTTACAAGCCTCAATCGTAAACCACTCCGGATGCTCCAGCAAGTTCCGAAACAGTTCTACCACAAAATCCATGTTTCTGATAATGCATCAAGAAATAGTATCATGCATATATCACATTTCAACCAAGTGCAAAGGCATACAACAAAAACAAAACAAAAAAAAACATACGAGTTTATGATTATATTGAGTACCTTGTCAGAATATTAAGAGAAAATGTTTCAATCTCAAATTGCATGAAACCGTACAAGTAGTTGAACTTGGAAGGATCTGATGAGTATCTAGACTGCAATCTCTATGCAAAGCCAAAATTGGATAGAGTGAGAACACTAGCACGCATTCAAACTTAATAAACAAAACATACGACCTGAATTCACATGCATATTAACCATAAGATGTTCTGAGCGTACGGATGCAAAGAGTTTAGATTAGCATTGCCATGTCCAAGTTGAACAATGCAAAGCGTTCTAATTAAGGCAGAATTACAAAAGCAGAAAGTATGAGACTCAAAGCAGAAAATGAAAGGGAAACGGGAAAATACATGAAAATAACATCTTACCGCTACATGAAGACGGATGGTATAATTAACAGAATACACGGCATTTCCAAATTTAGCTGCATCAAGCCCAGAACCAAATCATAAAGCTCATATTGTACAAATAAATAACAAATGGTCATGTAGCTTTATGCTTAACAATCGTTATAAACGCCAAGTGTCAGGTGTGTGCCTTTTTGAAAGCTTAAAAATGGTTCAAAGCTTGGAATCAAACGAATTAAAGCCACTATTCACGGGATGAAATAAATGAGGGAAATGAATGAACCTAACAGGCAAAATCTTATTGCACGATTCCAAGAAATGCTTCGTCAGAATCTCTTTTGATTTAGACTTCACGCTCTCCAATTCTTCCAAAGCAGGAGCAAACATAGTCTTCCCCATCTTTTCTTTTTTTGGGTATGTACTTGGTACCTTTGCTACAAGGCTAGCACCAGATAACTTCAAATCATCCATTCCAAGACTAGCCTGTCTCAAAAGTGTAAAGTTCATGAGCAAATATTTTAACATTTTACAATAACAAATGATTTAATAATTCATTGCCTCCTTTTTCTATTTTAAACTTCCCTTTTCTTCAGAGAACCTCGACACGGAAGGGAGGATTTATTGGCTCCTACCAGCTGAGAAAGGATTATTAAGAGTAAGGAGCCTAGTAAATTTTGCAACTGAAAAAAAAAAAACTTACCAAAAACTCGTGATTCTGTTTAAGTAGAGGAGTAAAGGAAGTGCAAAATTTCTCCATGTCTCCCATGACATCACCATTGCCTCCGATCACCTTCAACAACAAGTCTTTTTCAGGAGCAAACTTGCGTCCAAGCTATCATTCCAGTGAACAATTAAGTTAAATTTTCTAACCAATAAAATTTCACTTAATCAGTGTAGGAAAACAATAAATCATAGAGTACAGCCAATGATAAGTTGCTGGGAGTTTTCCGAAATTTCCTCTATTGAAGCAGTAAGACTATAATAAGAAGAAGGGCGTCTCTCGAACATGGGAAAACGCAAAAATGCTTTCGTGTTTAATAAATGTAATAGCTTCAAGCTTTCATATGAGTTCTGTACAATATACTGAAAAGAGAGAAAACTAGTTTGAGTATATGGAGAACATGGAAATACATTAAAGTGCTGCCAGGCCAAGTAATTAAAAAGCAACTAGGCAAAGCCGGCAACTTGCAGAATATAATTGTCACTAGTGAAGCATAGAAATAGGACATTCAAAGGGAAAGATTAGTACGAATAATCCTAGGTCACCAAATAAATGAAGGGGAATCAAAGTCAGTACAATTTTTTCATCATGCCATTTTATCAGGGTCTTCGCATAGGCGTTATAAACAGCCCGAATTGTAACCCAATCTGGAGGATGCTCCCGTAAGTTCCGAAACAGCTCTACCAAAAAATCCATGTATCTGAAAATAAATCAAGAGTAGTATGAAAAATGTGATGTATCACATTTTGACACAGTGCAAAGGTGATTCTAAAGCCAAAAGAAGATAATGCGAGTTTATGATTCTATCGTGTACCTTGTGAGCCAAACAAGAGAAACGGTACTCGAGCATTGTTCATCAGAATTATTTGTTTCGACATCAAAGTTCACCAAACTGTACAAGTGTTCGAACTTGGAAGGATTGGATTGATATATTCTTTCCATTTTCTACACACAGGAAAAAGTGCAGAGAGTGAGTATAATAATAACATGCATTTAAACTCAAGAAACTATATATATATATATATATATATATCATATATATGTAGATTACCCACAAGACAAAGACAAAGACAAAGCATGGAGAGTCAATTTGCATTGCCATGTCCATTCTCTATAATGACAAAAGCAGAAGGTAGCAAAAACTTGCAGCGAAAATTAGGGGTGGGCATGGTTTAGTTCGGTGCGATTTTGAGTGAAACTGCAATCGAAACCAAAACGTTTTGCAGTGCGGTATTGAAGCCAAAACCGAAATGAAACCAAACCGATTGGTTCGGTTCGGTGCGGTTTCAAACGATTTCAGTTTGGTTTTTGAGAAAAAATATACAATTTAAAATTTACACCTACGTACGTATAAGACGGTCTCATTTTCCACACAATACATTAATTAATAAACTTGTAGATTGTGTTCGAGCAATTGTCATTATCAAACAATTCCAAACACAGCAAGGGTGAAGGATCTAATCTTACCGAAAACTACGTGCTTATTTCATCCGATCACAAAGTAATTTTCAATGTATACATATTTTAATTCTTTAAATGTTTAGTATAACTCGCAAATATTTCTTGTTCCATGTCATACAAAAGGCTGAGTACATCATTCATTTACATGGTATTTCTTTTTCCATCTTTCAAAATCTGGAGATCAAAATAACAGTGACTATTACATGGATTTTTGTTTTTTTGTTTTTAATCTAGCGAAGATCACAAAAAGCGACCGTTTTCGCTACCTAGGATCTATCTTGCAAGAGAACGGAGAATTAGATGGAGATCTCAACCATAGAATACGAGCTGGATGGATGAAGTGTAAGAGTGCATCCGGCGTGTTGTGTGACCGTCGTAGGCCACTGAAGCTCAAGGGAAAATTTTATAGGACGGCAATAAGGCCAGCGATGTTGTATGGCACAGAATGTTGGACGGTGAAGCATCAACACTTACATAAAATGGGTGTAGCGGAGATGAGGATGCTTCGTGGGATGTGTGGGCACACGAGAAAGGATAAGATTGGGCATGAGGATATCTGAGGTAAAGTAGGAGTAGCCGAAATTGAAGGAAAGATGAGAGAAAATCGGTTCCGGTGATTTGGACATGTGCAAAGAAGGCCGACTGATGCTCCGGTTCGAAGATGTGACTACGGGACAGAGGTTCAGGGCCGAAGGGGTAGAGGAAGACCTAGGAAAACTTTGGAAGAGACACTAAGAAAAGACTTAGAGTACTTGGATCTAACGGAGGACATGACACAAAACCGAGCGCAATGGCGTTCTAGGATTCATATAGCCGACCCCACTTAGTGGGAAAAGGCTTTGTTGTTGTTGTTGTTGTATCTAATGTTGGAGAACGATGGTTTATTCGGAACGAAAGAAGCACCAAAGTTAAAAATTAGGAAACGGATAACATTCTAGTGTGGTTGAGTCCATACTAAATGTATGGACTCTAACAATAACCAATTAAAACATGACATCTAATTGAGGTGCGGCGGTTCGGTTTCAAAATCGCAACCATATCAAAACCGCAAAACCAAACCTTCGGTACGGTCCGATTTGGTTCGTGTTTTGGTTTCGGTTTTTGGTTTCAAGTGGCCACCGCTAGCGAAAATAAAAGGCGAAAATAAATGAAAATCATCTCACCACTGCACAAGAAAAGATGGACGTCCTAACATGATTCAAAGGGTCTTGAAATTGAACTGGATCAAGGCGAGAACCAAAATCAGGAAGTCGATCGATGTTATACATATAAAAAATCGCATGAATAAAAGCAATGAATAATGAATGTACTTGTAATTGGTGCAGTATGCCTGCACACTACCAAGAAAGGGACGGTCCGAATCTCTCCACTTGGGGACCTGACAAACTCCAACATTTCCAAAACAGGAGCGAAAAGGCACTCCCGATCCGGAGCAGGACCGCCCAACGGCCAGAGAATAGCATAATTTGCCACAATGGATTCCTGTTTCCTTTTCCATGCCGTAAGGGCGTCTGTTTCTTTTACTTTGGTTGTCTGCGAACTCTCTTTTATTGGCCCTGCCGCTTTTCTCTTTGACATTTGGTTGTCTGTAAACCCAAGTGTCGATCTGTGAAGGCGGTCTCTCTATGATGATGATGAGATCTGGCTTTTTTTTCAAGGGAAAATCAAGGAGAAGCAAATTGTGGCTAGGGTTTCAACGAATATGAAGAACCGTGAGACTACGAGAGAGAGAGAGAGCGCGCATCCAATACTATTTTAGGGTATGTATTGAATTGAGATTTTGAGAGATTTTAATTATTTTAATGAATTTATGGATATTCAATTAGAATTTTAAGTGATTATCTGAAATTCAAGGTGTATTCAATTAGAATTTTAAGATAGTTTATTAAAATCCTTAGAAATCCGGGTGTATTCAATTAGAATTTTAAATAAATTTATAACATTACAAGTGTATTCAATTATAAATTGATTTTAAAAATTTTGAGAAAGTTGAGGAATTTGAAGGAATTAGAGAGATTTCCTAGTGTATTTTAAGCATCAACAAATCTCACATCGCCCTATGAGATTTCAAGGGAATTGAATCAAAATTTTATACCGATGTGTATAAAATATTTGTATCAAAATTTTAAAAATCCACAAATCTCACATCTCCCCATTAAATTATGAGCTCATCCACCCTGAAGCCACCAAATGGAAAAATATTTGTACCGATGTGTATTTACTTGAGATTTTTGAAAATTTTGTTAAATTTTCGAAATTTATGGATTTTGATCGAGTTTAATTATTTTGTAGAAACTCCATCTAAAATTTTGATTCAATTTTCTCCAATTCTTCAACTTTTAAAAATTGATAAATTACAGTTTACAGCCCCAATTTTCGGTGCAATTGCAACCTTATACAACATCTTTAAAACATTTCAATCTCATACACAAAATTATGTTTAGTTCAATATCATACATCTGTTAGTCAAATCTGTTAAAATGACCATTAAGTGACGACATTGCAAATATAGGCTCCACATGTTTGCTGACCTATATGCCACATATGTGCCACGTGGAAACAAAATAAATATAAATTTTAAATTCTTTAAAATTCTACAATAATTTTCGAAATGCTATCTTCTTAATATTAAAAAAAAACAAAAAAAAAATCTCTAAAATATCTTCTTTTAAAACATTTCAATCTCATGCACAAAATTATGTTTAGTTGCAATATCATACATCTGTTAGTCAAATCCGTTAAAATGATCGTTAAGTGACGACATTGCAAATATAGGCTCCACATGTTTGCTGACCTATATGCCACATATGTGCTGCGTGGAAACAAAATAAATATAAAATTTAAATTCTTTAAAATTCTAAAATAATTTTCGAAATGCTATCTTCTTAAAATTAAAAAAACAAAACAAAAGAAAAATATCTTCTTCTAAAACAAATTAGATTACCCCAAAAAAATGAAGAAACTCATTGCCTCACAGCCCCACTCCCATCTAATTTTTGCGACCTCCACCATCTCTTTCTCTTCCTCCTCTCACTTTCAACTCTTAAATCTCAAAGGGTTTTACTTGTTATTAGAAGTACCAGGTAGTAGTCACTTTTCGTGTATAAGTGCGCTTGCTCTTTGGTTCGTAATCAGATCAGAATTTTACAAAAGAAATACAAACACCAAAAAACATATATTGGAGCTCAACGCCTTTTCTCCTTGCTCTTTGATTTCATCAATGACGGTTGGTGTAGTGTAATTAGTTTGAAATTGTTAACAGGCTGGGTTTTGTCCCTGTTAGGGGCAATTTTGGAAACTTAATTTTGAGCGGTTTCGACTTCATAATCCAGCCCATTTAGAATTTTGGGACTTGTACTTATGGTTAATTTTGAGGTGTCTTTACTTAAATAAAACTATAGGGTGATTTTTGGTTAAAATAGTATTAGCCCAAGCCTTTTTTATTAAAACTTCCAGAAAAACGTTGGAGGCTTCTGTAAATTCTCGATCAATCAATCAAGATGCCAATTCTTGCTCCAAATAGCACTCCTAACATGATGCAACTTTACACTTCAATCAATCAAGAACGTCTTCCTATCCGACACCTCCGACCCCCTCGCACGACTGCATCTCGTGCATCTACTACGATGACTCTACCTTTTCTCGGTGCCTCCATCAATTTGTTTGAACAACTTAAGGTCACAGGGCTTCTTCCAACATATTTGCAAAATATTAAATAATTTAAATCTTGTTTGAACGGAAGAGTGTTTTCGGTTTCAGTGGCCCATGTCTCTTTGCATCCAACCCAATGTCCAATGCCGGTCCACATTTTAACACCAGGTGCATTCTTTTCTTTTCTTTCTTTATTTATTTATTTGTTTTGTTTTCTTTCCTTTTGTTTTTGATGTTTTATTTTTCTCTTGTGTTTTTTTTTATTTGATATGCTTCAATTAGGTTTCGTTTTAGTATTTCCTTTTATTTTTGTTATCTTTTATATTTTATTTACTTTCCACCCCTTGAGGACAAAGTGTGACATAAGTTTGGGGATGGGAGAGTAAAATTTTAGGATTTTAATTTTTGGGTTAGTTTAAAAAAAATTCATTCTTTTTAAGTTAATATCCATAGTTTATTTTAAACTTAGAACAAATGGACATGTTGAAGATTAATCTCACAATAAAGTCTTTTATATTTATCATTTCTTAGACGCTACTTCATGAGTTATACTTTGAAGATTTGCACATTCACATCAACATGGTTTGTGGGGAGTGAAATTGAAACACTTACTTTTAGTCTGAGTTAATTTTTAATTTTTGTTATAAAGTAAAGTTTAGTTCTTGTTACAAATAAAGTAATAATTGTTCCACTCAAGGCTTTGCTTAGTAACCGAATCAGTCCTGCCTAATTAGTAATGATTATCGCGTCACACGGGGCCTGAAGGGATATTTTCCTCTGATTGTTCGCTCAGTGGCGGGGAGCTGGCATAGGGCCTGGAGGAGGGATATTGGACATTCACTAGTGATTATTATATATAAGTTATGATTTGAGACATTGCACGACATGCTAGGTTTCAGAAAACCTATGTTTATCATTATATATGTGTTTTCATAAAACATGGGGTTAGTATGTTGATAATTGTTTTACTATATATATCAACTTAGTCCACTCCCTCTTCAGGATTTAGAATCGAGACATACAATTTCAGCGTCAAGGCACTTCTGCATCGGCATCTTCGAGTCCTCCCAGTGTAGGACCCATTCTTTTATTCATTCAATTTTATATTAATTCTTTTAGTGTTCTAGATTAGATGTGTGCTCTGAACACATTCCTTAAATACATATTCATTATCTTTACATTTAAGTCTTATTTATCCCTTATTTCTAACATTTGCACTCAATAAATGGATTTCGTTATCCTCGGGTGTCGGCCAGCACGTGTTTATCTTGGTATTTGGGAAATATCGGGATCGAGGTGTGTCACAACTTATTGACTTTGACTTTGACCGATCAACGGTCAACGTTGACTTTTTGACCCTTTTTTTTTTGTTTTCATCCGGGATCCCTCCTAGGCTAATTTCGACGTCATGAACCCATTTATGACGTTCGTTTTTTAAAATTCAATCATTTGAGTATAGTTCTGTTAATTGTACTCTTTATGTGCTTGGATGCAATTAATAACGGCGTTTCCGTTATTCCTATTTTGTACGGCTTTGGACCAACAATGTAAGGTGAATAGACTCATTCTAAAATGCATGTTTTAATAGTATAAATGTATACATGAAAAGTATGATTGAATACTTACGTTTTATGAGATAACATGCTTACTGAGGCTAGTTTGAATTATACTATTTTTCTATATAACCCATGTTCTTTATAGGATATCTGATGAATGACGATATAATATTTAGTACATGTTTTTTAACACTTCTTTATAGTATAGATGATAGATGACTGTATACTATGAAATTGATTTTGAGATATATATTCAATAGTTTTGTACTTAACTAATGGTCCCTATTCCGCCTGTTGGCGAGGTTATGTTGTTGGCATAAAGCCGAGAGAATTAATCTCTAGTTGCGGTGTAAGATCTCACATCGCCTGGGGGGAGGAGGTGATGTGCCTTATATGTACATGTCCACTTTCTATAGTAAGACGCGTTTTGGGTGGAAGCCCAAGAACAAATCTGTGAAGGCGTTGCCCAAAGCAAACAATATCTTACTTTGCAGATTGGGTTTGGGATGTGACAATTTGGTATCAGAGCCACTCCCTGGCCATAAGTGTGCCGACGAGGGGGGTGGATTGTAAGATTCCACATCGCTCGGGGGAGAGGAGGTGATGTTCTTTATATGTACATGCCCACCTCCCTATAGTAAAACGCATTTTGGGTGGAAGCCCAAGAACAAATTCGTGAGGGCGTAGCCCAAAGCGGACAATATCTTACTTTGCGGACTGGGTCTGGGATGTGATATACGAGCTGATAGACACATAATGGCATATGGCCTGAAGAGATTTCCTCTGGCTACATCGCATGGATGGGAAGCTAGCGTAAGGCCTGGAGTGAGACTGGACACTCACTAGTGATTACGATATATACGAGATATGTTTTGAGATGTTGCATGGCACGTTAGGGTTTTCGAAAAACCTACCACATATTATGCTATTAGTTTTCATAAAATTTTGGGGGTTAGTATGTTGATAACTGTTTTATTATATATATAGGGTCGAGGTAAAATGGAGAGGAATGGTCGAGGTGATGAATGGTGGTGGTGAGTGGTCGTAATTCGCCGGAAAAATGGGCCAAAATCGCATCGGAAAACGAAGAGGAAACCAGACTGAAGTCGGGTCAATAATGGGGTCAGGGTTGGGTGGATTTCTCTCCCTCATTTTCCCTTCTTTCTTCCTTTCCTTATTGGCCTAATCCTTCCTCTCTCCTTCCCTTAATGGTTCCCTCTCTTTTTCCCCCCTCTTCTCTAGTTCGTCCCCCTTCCACCTCCTAGCCACTCACGTGGCTTCCTTTCACCAAAACAAGGCTCCCACAAATCTGGATCCTTCTAGATTTATAGCAAAATGACCATTTTACCCCTAACTTCGTTCGTTTTTATTTCATTCCTTATAACTCCGTTTGGCGAACGATTTTCACCTACACGCTCGTGGAATTGTCTTCTATCTAATTATGTCAAGAAAATATGATAAAATATATGAGGAGAAAATACGTCCTTGTATAATCACGTTGAGCCACCTAGGGGCATTTTCGTTTTTTCCACTTATCGATAAATTTTACGACATAAATATAATAAATTTCGGTAATCAAATCTTTAAATGTCTCTATTAAATTTTCATATCCATAAATCGATGTATTTTCGATTTCCTCCATATAATCATAATTAGGAATATCAAATTCATATAATTAAATTTCCGGGATATTACATAAACATTGATGTGCAATAATAGGTAAGTAGCTAGCCATGCATGAACATTTTTCTTAGATCCAATTGATCGATGTTGAGAGAGTACCATATCAGGAGGATGTAATTCATAGTATTAGAGCAAACCTATATTTTGGTATGGAGGCTCTACATGTACATATATATCTTATTTAATTTTTTGCTGAACGTATTAACACAGTTTTATGTCAATGAGAAAGTAAACGTAATAGACCAAAAAAATTAGGGGCAAATTATACATTTCTTGTCACAGTGTCAGTCATGCGCGCGAGAAAAGAGATAGAAAGGAGGATACTCACCATGATAAAAAAAGTTATTCTCCTAAATCACGTGAGGATTGAGTTATTGGAAGAAAAGACTATGATATCTAGGAGTGGGTTCGGTACGGTTACCGTACCAAAATCCTTGTACCAATTACCGTACCAAATTTTCGGTTTGGTAAAATCTATTACCATTACCATACCAAACTTTCGGTATACCGAAGTTCGGTATTGCCAAAAGTTCGGTTGGCATGGTATGGCAATGGTAATTGCCATTTTGTTTTGGGACAAAATCTGTTTTTGTTTTTTTAACCCAATTCAAGGGCAAAACTTTTTTTTTGTACCTTTATCTCATACATTATAGATTAAATTCATCATTCACAATTCACACACATAATAATTCAAATGATGCATCAAGATTCATCATGAAAATTAAGCTTACAATCCAAATAGAAGTTACGAACCAAAACAAATAGAAGTTAACAATCCAAATAGAAATTAAAGTTTCAAACCAAATGAAAATTGGAAGTAAACTTCACAAAGGAGAATTCATTGATCAGTTATTCAAGCTTGAGATGTCAAAGCTTTTGGAGGAGGCATTGAACTTGTAGAAAATTGAGTTTGTGTCAAACCTACATTACAAACAAAGAAAACATATTAATTAGTAGCAAGAAGAATTAAAATTGAAAACCATTTAATAACAAATTTACTGAAAAAATTAAAGCATATCTTTCTTGTTTTCTCTTCTACCATTTCCTTGTAAAATTGAAGCATATCTTCCGTTGGTTCCTTGTAGAAGTTTACTTCATCTACCTTAAGCCAATCACTAGTACGCACTAGTGCCTACATTATTTTAGGAGTCAAGGATACCTTAAAGGGTCCACAACCCTCCTCCCTAGGCTAAATGCATTTTCAATAGCAACAATAGAAGTGGGGGTTACAAAGATATTTTGGCTATTTATGAAAGAATTAGGAACTCTTTTGTGTTTGATTTCCACAATTTCAAGAGATCAAAGTCACCAACAACAATGCTAATATAAGTAGGGTTTTATTTTCAAATTATTGGAATATTATAAATGTGTTATATAATTATCTATTATATAATTTATAAATGATATATTATATTGTATTTTCGGTATGGTATGGTAATACCGTGGTAATGGTATCCATTACCAATACCGTACCATGAAATTTCGGTACGGTACAATACCGTACTATTACCGAATGGTACAAAAAATTTGGCACAAAATCGGTATAGCATGGTTGGCAATTCGGTTGGCACGGCAATTTGGCAAAAAAATCCACCCCTAACCGTGACATGAAAGTTTTTCACCAAAAATATGATGAAATCAGCCAACAATAACGGTCCTCCCTTGTTTATTTTGGGATATTATGATTAGAAGTCTTAATATATTCTCATAGAGTTTAATCGTTCTTCATAGGTACTCTTGTACATTTTAATTCAGTTCATTATATATCCTGATAGGTACTCTTGATGGATGTATGTTAACTTCACATTTCACAATGACAATGGTTTCAAGAAACTTGTACATGCATTAAGATGTGAAATTTCTGTGATTAAATTTGATGTCATTGATCATGTTTATCTACTTACTAATTCGTTTTGAAATTTAACGATTTTTTAACATAATTTTAGAAATGCTTTCTTCTTAATATTTAAAAAAAAAAAAAAACAAGAGAAAAATATCTTCTTCTAAAACAAATCAGATTACCCAGAAAAAAAGAAGAAGAAACCCATTGCCTCACAGCCCCAAATCTAATTTCTGCGACCTCCTCCATCTCTTTCTCTTCCTCCTTCTCTCACTTTCAACTCTCAACTCTCAAAGTGATGTTGATCAAAATCCGGTGGCGCAACCAGCAACGAAATCAAAGGTTAATGATCTCAAATCCGGTTTTGACTGGTCACTTATTACAATCATAGAGAAATAGAGAGACAGAGAAAAGGTAGAGTCATCGTGAGATGTTGTCGCCACACGAGCTGTGGCGAGGGGGCCAGGGTTATATGTGTATTAAAAAGTTTATAACTTAAATATTAAAGTTTTCTACCATTTATATAAAAACACATGGTAAACCACTTATGTTTCGGTCACAATGAAAAATTTCTCTTTGAACAGGACGACATCAGTGCGGAAGGCATGAGAGGACGCTTAAATTTAGGGTTTGCATCATGTTAGGAATGGTATTTGGAGCAAGAATGGGTATCTTGATTGAGTGATCGATAATTTACAAAAGCCTTCAGCGTTTTTCTAGGAGTTTTAATAAAAAAAACTTGAGCTAAGATTATTTTAACAAAAAATCATCCTATAATTTTATTTAACTAAAGACATCTCAAAATTAACCATAATTGGTTAGGTGCGTACAATTTGAAAGTATATATTAAACCATCATCTTAAGGTCATATATATATATATATATATAAAACTCATGTTAATATATGTATTTACATACATACCTAACCATCAAAATGATAATTGTAATCATCGTCTGACCATCAAAAACATTAAAACATAATTGGTTGACCTAATTTTTGTCATTTAATTTTACTCATTCCTCAGGGAAAACAAACATTCTTATACAAATTCTCAAAACATTTTATTAGGGTTTTAGACTCTAAAATTCCGGGAAGAAAAAGAAAAATAAAAAGAAAAATAAAAACTCTCTCGGTATAAATTGGCTGACGAAACACTGAGAGCCTCCACCACCGCCTCAATCGCCGACCCCAAAACATGCCCGTCTGCAGCAATTGCCGCGGCAAAACCTTCGTCCGCGATGACGTCACCGAAAACCTCTCCTGCTCCACCTGCGGCAAGCTCCAAGAGTACGACAACTACGTCCACCAATACGGCGGCGTCTCCGGCCCCACCGGCACCTTCGTCTCCGTCGGCACCACCGGCTCGGGCAACGTTTACAGCTACAAAGAGACGAAAGTTTACGAAGCCCTAAAATTTATCGAATCCATGTCGCTCCGCCTCGGCCTCTCCACCGCCGAGGCCGACGCCGTCAAAGCCATGGCTAGGGAAGTCACGGTAGGTGAGTACGGCCAAGGTAATTGGTTCAATATTTTCGTTGGTGCTTGCGCGTATGTTGCCATGAGAAGGGACAATAAGTCCTTGCCGATCGCCGAGGTCGTTTCGGTGATCGGCGGCACGGATGTTTATGAATTGGGTAGGATGATAATGCGTATAGTTAATTTTTTGGATTTGAAAAAACCCGAGTTTCCGGAATTCGATATTGTCAATTTGTTCGAGCGGACGCTGAGGAATTCGTATAGTTTCGAGGGAATTGAAGGAGATAAGAGGGAGAGAATGAGAAAACAGGGGATATTTCTGCTAAATTGTGCAAAGAAGTGGTTTTTGACAACCGGGCGTAGGCCGCTTCCGATGGTGGCGGCGGTGTTGGCTCTTGTGGCGGAGTTGAATGGTGTTGGGGTTAGGATTGAGGACTTGGCTAAGGAGATTCATGCTGTTGTCCATACTTGTAAATTGCGGTACAGGGAGCTTTTAGAGGCGCTTGTGAAGGTTGCACAGGCCTTGCCTTGGGGGAAGGATGTTACGGTTAAGAATGTAATTAAGAATGCGCCGTTTGTCATTCAGTATATGGAGAGGAAGTTGATGTCGGAGCCGAGTGGGAAAAAGGATTTGGTGGGCGGCATTTGTTTGGATTTGGGAGATGTTAGAGAATATTTGAGGAATGATAGTGGATACGCAAGTGATTTCTGTTTTGAAGATGATTTTGATACAGAAATGGATAAGTTAAAGCTTTCACATGAGTCTCGGTACTTTGAGGTGGAAGATGGTGGGTGCAAATTGGGGGTTGAGGAAATGGATGCGCTGAAGCTTTCACATGCTTATCAATGATTTACTCAAAGTTTTCGGATGAGGTTGACAATGTTAAGTCCTCTAAGGGGTTTGAAGAAGTTCGTGGAACAAAAAAGAGGCGAGGTTTTGCGCTCCATGCTTGTGCTGAGTGGTGGAATGGACAGTCGGAAATGAGCAAGAGGCTTCTGCTTAAGGAGATATTGGAGAAAGATGTAGGATTGGATGCTATACCTCCGTCTTTTGTTAATGGTTGTGTAGCAGTTAAGAGGAGGAAAGAAAAGATAAATGCTGCCAAGCAGCGAATTGATAGAATTATGTGTCCATCAAATGCTCGTTCAGGTGACAGCAGCGACATTTGCATTTCTGAAGAGGTACATACTAGGAAGAAGAGAAAGAGAGGACGAGGCATTGATTGGGAAGATTTAATTATTGAAACCCTCCTCCTTCATAAAGTAAAAGAGGAGGAAATCGAGAAGGGGTGGTACAGTGTACTACTGGAATTATATGTATTTAACTCTGGGGTTGTGTGAGAGCTTCTGCACTTTGGAACTGAAATGTGAGGAATGTGCCTGCATGCCCTTGCAACTCCATGATCGAAGTGACTTTTTTTTAACTGAATTTGCTAGATTTTGTAGATCTTACAACTGATACAATCATACGAGTTACGAAAGTTTTGTTTCCTCTTTTTGAACAGAAGATTGGCAATTATATTGATATACATTTGGCCTAATTCTTTGTCTCAATTATTACTTAGTAAGTAAGGAAATTGTCTCAAAAGGTTTATCTTTTCTATACATGTAGTGGTTTTTATGTTGCCTGGCTCATAGACTAGCGTTTTTCAGTCGTAAAGGATAGAATCGATACCTCATGGGCCATTCTTTAGAGAATGAAAGTAGTGTATACCATCTGGAGTGATAGATATAAAACTGTTTCCTTTTTTCTGGACAATTTAACGCTGCTTGCTTTATCCTTGTATTTTGTTTTTGGCTGCAGTGAAGTGTATTAGTTTCTGCATTTCCGGTATGAGTAGGCTAAACAGCTGAGAAAACTAAAGATGGTTGAATGAAACCATTGAAGCAACAGCTGAGAAAACTAAAGATGGTTGAATGAAACCATGGAAGTAGTGGAATGCAGGTTCCTCTGTACGAGTAAGGCTGATCGTTTAAGTAATTCATTATGCTTTAACTCTTAAATAAACACGGTAAAATCTGTATTTCTTCCAGTCCCCTATTTGTTACTTTTTCTGCTTTAAACTGTTTTTTATGACTTGTTTGATGATTGAAGCTCATTTTATTGCTTACATATCTTGCTTACCAGAGAACAGGAAAAGAAATTGTCTGTTTCGAAATTTAGTATTTTGAAAATTCTGTACTGCCATCTTCATTTTTTATGGTGTGAAACTGGCATTAAGATAAAGCATGAAATTCTTAATCCACTTCGTATAGTATTGACTATCATTGTCTAAATTTTTATTTTTGTAGCAGGATACCACAATCTGAAACGTTATCAAAATAAAGCCATTCTTGGACAGCAATGGAGAGAAAATAAAGAAAGATCGGCTTCCCCAAATAGGAACCGAAGTTGTAAGCTGATGAAATCTAGGCACCTACTGGATCTTGTCCTGCTTGGTGGTCAACATGAGCTTACTGCCCAGCAGCAAATGCCTCAACGGGGAAAGTCTTGGTGATACCAGCAAGACTCTTGAAGTTGATTTTTCCGGCAGGCTGATCAACGATTATTTCACTAACCGGAGGCCAGAGCATAAGCTCCTTAGCCTTCACTCCCTTGAGCTTCTTAATCTTTTGCTTCTCAACATAGCCTTTGATTTCAGTGTCATAACTCACAAGCTTACTGATCAACTTGAAGCTGTGTTCGACCTTCTTCTTCTGGACGATCCACATGTAGCCGGTGGCTCTCACAAAGCCAACTTCGATCACATCAGCAAGAGGCAAAAGCCCTAGCGGAAGTTCAAACTCTTGGAGCAAGGCGGTAGCCAATCTCAGTCCCTCCTCGTGGCCTTTCTTCACGATTCCTCCTTCCTTCTCCGCCATGGTAAACTATTATATATCTTTATTAAAGTTCCAAAGTAGTTTTGTGAAGTTGTAGGCACTTTGGGGTAAATGGGTTTAATTTATATCAAGTTACTACATGCATAGGACAAACAGAATGGAGAAACCAAGGTGTTTTTCTTTGTAGTAATCACCAAAATTTCTCTCTAATCCGGCGTAAAATTTATCCTTATTCTACGAACAACTGTCAAAACCGCCGAAGCTACTATGTGTGTTGTGGTCATCACCCATTTTGCTGCTCTTGTTGTGTCCTATTCTTCTTGTTCGTTGAAGACAGTTGCAACTTACCATTGAGTATTATGTGCAGCTTGGAAAGTACAATTCCACCTGTTTATGTTAGTGAGCTTTGTACTTAAACCAAAACAACGATTACGATATTGTATATCGATTAAAACTAGGAGTCTAATGGCCTTCTTACTTGGATAAATCAACCCTCTTTACCCCAAAGTACTTATAACTTCACTGCTTCATTCGAAAACTTTTAAGGAAATAATTTTTTTTATCATGGCAGAGAAGGAAGGAGGAATCGTGAAGAAGGGCCATGAAGAGGGGCTGGCATTGGCGACCGCCTTGCTCCAAGAGTTCGGACTTCCGCTAGGGCTTTTGCCTCTTGCTGATGTGATCGAAGTTGGCTTTGTGAGAGCCACCGGCTACATGTGGATCGTCCAGAAGAAGAAGGTCGAACACAACTTCAAGTTGATTAGTAAGCTTGTGAGTTATGACACCGAAATCAAGGGCTATATTGAGAAGCAGAAGATTAAGAAGCTCAAGGGAGTGAAGGCTAAGGAGCTCATGCTGTGGCCTCCGGTTAGTGAAATAAACGTTGATCAGCCTGCGGGAAAAATCAACTTCAAGAGCCTTGCCGGTATCACTAAGACTTTCCCGGTCGAGGCATTTTCTGCCGGGCAGTAATGCATGGACTACTAAGGTTCAGTAGGTGCCTCCATTTCATCATTTCACTATTTTGATATGGCTTCTGATTGTGGTCTCCTACTAGAGAAATAAAAATTCACTTCATGATATTTAAAATTTAGAGACTTTCAGAAAAGTTATGTAATATTATTGAAACGAAAAGAATTATTATGCTCAAGCAATACAACTTAGAAAAGCAAGAGGTTTTGGACCAAAAAAAGAAAAGCGAAAGGTTCTCCAACCCAATCGTTAGAGAAATTGCAGTGAAGAGCAAACATGGCGTAAGGGTACATATTCTCTAGTGATCAATTAGAACATAATCTTTGAGATGAATCCTAATGCAAAGCTAACATGATTTGAAAAGAATCGCGCAGAACAAGTGAAGGTATATATTTTTATTTAGCCAATAAAATTATACATGCCACCAATACGGCATAACATTTAGAGACTTCGACATCATTTGATGTTTATGCTAGACTTGACTTGGATAACTCGTAGATTTAATTAATGTTGCATGAAGAGATGAATGTTGTTTGGTTGCATTAAAATGAAGGTAGAAGATCGATTAGCTACAGATAAGGGTTGGACTGGGAAGGGATAAGTTTTATTTAGACTAATTCATCTAATATGTTCAATTAGACAATATACAACTTTTTTATTTAATTTTTATTATTATTAAAGGGAGAGAGAAAGTTCAAAACTATTAAAATAATTTAGGGGTGTGATATTCATACATCCATTTTTACGTCTTCCACACCTTTTTAGTTTTCAGCCATCGGATCGGATGAATTGAAAAATATCAACGGACATAAATTAACAAGGGGTGTGTGAGAAGTAAAAAGAGGTGTGTGGATAGCACACCCCATAATTTAAAGAATGTGGGAGTTTCGAACTCATAACGCATACATGAATAAAAACTCAACATCCTATTCAATAGTACAAGTTGACGTATATTTCTCCAATCGTCATTCATCAAATGTAGTGAGTTATATATGCAAACCAATACTAAACTCCAAACAAGACCTTAAATAATCTCTCTTTCTTGTTCAAAACTTGCTTGCAACCTATGTATCATTGTGTAACTTTCACATGTAGGACGTTATTATCTTCACCAATTAAATACAAAAGTCGTCTACTTGAAAGTCCCCGAATCATATAGAGATCACGGTGCACATGAATTTGGAATCACCTATGGTCCTGCAGGAAGCAACTAGGCCAACTATATTAATATCTCCCTGCATCTTTTCTGGGAGAAGAAACCTTGATGTATGAATCGGGAGACCAAATCAATTCCATCCCCCTTTTTCCTTTTCGAATCCGAGTACGCCAATTGTGATATGATATGATATGATTTCAGTTCTTTTCTTTTGGTAGTTAGAAAGTGATGTTTACACTTTCTGCATTGGAGAATCATTTACATGACGCGAATATATTGTTTTAATGACTTTATGTGCTAATGTATTGTCGTAAAGTACCGTGGAAAAACAAAAATGGAATATCTGATAGATGTAATCAACAGTTGTCAGAATTATGCTAGCATAATACTCCAATGTGTGACATTGGTGATTGTTATATTTTGTGAAATGCATATGCATCGATGGCTGACAGTCACACATATTTATATTCCATGTAGCTTGGGTGTTCATTCGCATATACCTCCGATACAGTTGGATGAACCTTAACTAGTAGACCAACTTGCACATAAGTTATACAGAAGGTGATCTATTATGGTATATCCATGCATACAACGACTATATATACGGATGATGACGATAGTTCAAGAACATTTCAGTGCTGATGACGACGGTAAATGTCGTTGACAACTATTCAGACGACCAAAAGGCTCAATAATTGCAATGAAAATTTAATAAAACTGTTGTTACTTCGTTTCCACACTTAACTACACGTTTGAGTCCTTGATAAATAATAGATAATTAAGAGATTAATATAGAAATTACAAAGATCAGCAGACGAGCCAGGCTGCAATTCAACTTCTGTGCATTTGCTGTGCACTATCAATCAAAGCAACAAGATTAAGAAAACGAAGGATAAAAAAGAAAAGATGGTTGTGGGGACTACTCACTTTTTAAAAATATTCTCACTTATCTTGCCATGGCAGCGTTGAAGAACTCATCAAATATCTATATGACTTCTCTGCAATCTTTTGCTATATATATTGAGTGCAATTGCAGTTTAGTTTCTCATTCCAAAAGAGTTCGAGAGAGAGAGAGAGGTTCACAGATCTATATATCTCAATATTCTAACATGACGGTGAGAAAACCACATAGCTTAGCCTTACCCTCACTCTTTCATTTCTGTTTGCACGTCTAAGTTATTATCATGCATGGTGACATATGTAGCTATAGCCTTTTTTTTTCTTTAGTAAAATAGAAGCCTAGGTGATCTTAGCTCCTTGGAGTTTAACGATGCAGAACGCAAAACGTTCACTCTCATCCCTCTGTTGCCCTATTAGAATGTGTGTGTGTGTGTGCATGTGCCTGTTTTTGAAGTTTCACATATAGTTAACAGCATCCACATATTATAGGGAATGCTAATATGCATGCCATGTATTTTTTTTCAAGTGAATGCTTCAACATATGCAATCTTCTCCACCGATCGATCGCGCATTTTAATTAGCCAAAGCAACATATATGTGTTTCACTCTGGTCTTGTGTCCGTGCATGAACTGTAATTTTTAAAGTTATCTATTGATTTTGTGCAGATAGTAGAGATGATAGTGACCATGGATTGTGCTGGCTGCGAGAATAAGATTAGGAGTTCTCTAAAAAAGCTGAAGGGTATGGTGCAAGTTATTGATCCTTTTACTTTTTTTTTGCGTTCTAAATATCCCTTTTGATTGAAACTTTTTCTAATAAATATCTAGATTGTAAGGATCTGATGAAATGTTTCACATCGGAAGTTTAATTATCTAACTGTAGCTCGATTATAAACCGAGTACTGCAGTTGTTGTTTAAAATTAACTAAAACTAATTACAAAAGACCAAGACCAGGGCTTTTTTCCCATAGTTAAGGTCCCAGATAGCCAGACTGCCAGTATGGTTAATTATAAATAAAATAATTAACAATATTAATTTTGATTACTATTGTGATTCTGACATTATTTTATATATGTACCAGGAGTAGATGCTGTAGATGTGGACTTCAACATGCAAAAGGTAACTGTAACGGGATGGGCTGATCAAGAGAAAGTTCTGAGGGCAGTGAGGAAGACTGGAAAGAGAGCTGAGCTTTGGCCTTACCCTTACAACCCTGAGTACCACAACTTTGGCCTTGACTACTATCAACAACATCAGCCGCTTGATCTGAATCATCATCATAAGCATCATCATAACCGTCAGATTACCACCCACCATCTGCCCATCACTACCTACATTTCAGTACCTAAATCCTCCTCCTCATCATATTCCTACAACTACTATGAACATGGCTCCACTAATCAGGACACTGGCTACTATCAACCCCCTCCTTATTTCACCATGTTTAATGAGCAGGACACTGCTGTGTTCAGTGATGACAATCCTCATGCTTGTTCCATAATGTGAATCAATGTGACGGTGTACCTTAAAATATGTACAATTCTGGTTGTCCCGTGACCCTTTTTTGCGGCACATTTAGTTTGAAGAATATATATGTATGCGCTAATGTTAGTAGCTTATGCACTCGTTCACTTTACAGAGTCATCATTGCGTAGGTTTCGTATGTGTGATGCAACCATGGTATAAAATATCGATGATATCGGAAATATCGGTAGTTCAAAAACATGGAAATTTCGATGAAAATATCGGGATATTATCGATATCGATAAAAATTGAATAAAAACCACGGAAATTGTAAGAAAAACTTGGAAATTTTTATTGAAACTTTGGATAATGTTTATTTAATCAATTATCTATTTGTTTATAAAAAAAAATTAGAAAGAAATGCATTACACGATGGATTTAACTGATTTAAGTTGATTATACAGCGAGCTGACAAACACTGTGAGTGTAGAAAATATGTAGTAATTAATGAAAAAAAGATTAAACACACCATAATCATTTATATATAATGATTTACTATAATATTTTACACTTTATACATTACATGTTAAGATACATGAGTGATTTAGTACCACATAAAGTTCATATGAGGTTCAAAATTTTCACTATCTTCATCATCTCTATATGTAGAGTAAGTTTATTGTGAAGAGTATTCATCAAATGATAAATTCCCAAAATAGTTTTGCATGTAATTGTTAACATGTCACTCATATAAATATAAATATTTTAGCATATTATCACTAAAACATAAGTGATCTATGGTGTTACGGTGTTGGAGGAGTAAAATGGGAGGGGTTCAAATCCTCTTTGTTCCGATATTTTGACAAAATATTGCTGAAGTGTGAGCGAAATTATCGACATCGATATTTTCCGATATTATCGTCGATATTGTCGATATTTGTACGATATGTTCCGAAATATCCGTGATTCGAAAAAATCGAAATATCTTCGATATTTTGTCGATATTATCGATGTTTCAGACTATGGATGCAACCCATCTTATTCTACCGTTCATGACGTGGGCAATGATGTTTGGATTTAATGGATTTAATTTGAAAGTTTTCTTCACTGCCTTTGTAAATAGTATAGAATCATGTATATCATATTAGCGTTGTGTATTATTCGGTTCCTGGCTTTCTTATATGATTTACATGTTATAATATAAAAAGGCTAGTGGTTCTAACTAACACCACTCTTTTAGCCTCATGTGCTGTATTTGTGAGCGCAGAAAATACCTTTAACATAGTCAGTTTACAGTGCTAAATTAAATGGTTATTATAAGACAAGTGTCAAATTCATTGTGCTATATTATATATAATAAAAATTTAGGTATACCAAGCGTATAATCGGTCTCCGATTTGTAAACATGGGGCTTATTTGGCATGCCGGACTACCGGATAGAACCACTTAATATATGAATTCTCTAAATAAAAGAGAAATTGTTGAAGCATAAATTGGTTGGCTCAGAACAAGTAAAACACTTTTCCTCATAAAATTTATTCTTTAAAACAATATCTAACCACGTTTATTAGAAGCACTACAAAATTCTTATCAAAACTAATTTATAAGAAGAAAAAAAACTTGAAATAAAAACAAAAAATTAACATGATCGACTATGAAAGCATCAGGGTAAACCCTAACCCTATCTTTACCTTCTCCTTGAAGGAAAAGATATCTGGGAAAAAGTCTCATATTAGGAAAAAGTTGTTCACATTTTTTCTCATTTATTTATTGTCTCTCAAATGATCATACACACTCCTTTCATCTATTTTTGTTTATTTTGGACGTTGAGTTCAACTAATTAAAGAAGAAATAAGAGACAAAAATAAATAAAGCGGTGCACATGGAAAAAAAAGTGAGAAAATCTTATTCTAAAAACAAATAAAACTTCTATTTTTCAAAGTAAATTGTAGCAATGGTTCTTTAACTTTAACTCAATTGGAAGAATGATCTCTCAACTAAAAATTCATTATTATTGATCCATCAACTCATCAAAATGTGCAGCTTTGGTCCCTCAACTAAAAATTTATTACCATTGGTCCCTCAACTTTAATCCAACTAGAGAAATGATCCCTCAACTTTATTCTAATTGGAGCAAGGATCCCTCAACTTTAACTCAATTGTAGCAATGGTCATTCCAACATAACTCATTTTGACAAAATTATGACGAAGTTGACGAATAGGACCATGGCTACATGTTTTGATGAGTTAAGGGACCCTAATTGTAATAATGGTCCTTTCAACATAACTTATTTTGACAAAATTCTAACGAAGTTGACGAAAAGTACTATAGCTACACATTTTGATGAGTTGATGGACCAATGGTAATGGATTTTTAGTTGAAGGACTATTTTTCAATTTGATTAAAGATGAGGGACTATTGCTACAATTTACTCTATTTTTCAAGTCATTCTTTAAAAACCATATCCCTAAAGTTGTAGTTTTGCAAAAATAATGACTTGAAAAATTGGTGAGATAATTCTATCTTGAAAAAAGACTCAGCCTGATCTTGGAGTTCTCGGAGCCAAAGGTTCTTCGACTTAAACTCTAGTTTAATTTTACAGTGCAACATTGCAGTATCGAAAGAAAAACCAAAAAGAAAGAACTGAGAAGGTTTAAATGATAACTTTGCTAATGACTACAAGTCTACAATCCTCAAAATAGGCATATTGTTAGTGGAGAAACCAAGGAGCAAAATGGTTAGCCATCATCGAGAGATTTTTCAGTGTGACCGGTATACGAGGTGGTACATAACGTGTCACTATACAAATGATGAGATATGTGTACTAAAAAGTTAATTCTTAAAAAATAAAAAATTTCACCGTTTACATAAAAACACGTGATGTACCATATCTATTCTCATTACAATCAAATATTTCTCGCAATCATCAAGGATGGGCATTGCATGTGAGTATCCACGTAGCAGTTGGCCACTACCACGCTCAGTCGCTCACCTCCCAAATAATTGCCTCCGTTTGGCGCCATTCGACATTGAGCAGCTCACCAGATTTGACATCATCTCCCAATTCCTGCCGTTTAATACATGTCTTCATCTCGTCCGTTAGCATATTATTGTGTGTGTTTATTTATCATGTTTATTTATCATTACAGACGGGAGGATAAGATTTGAACACAGAACAGTAACCTTACGCATTTCAGACACAAAATTATACAACTATTGTAATTAAAGTATTTTACATCCCTTTTTATCTTTTTTTTTTCTCGGATAACAAAAGGTTTAGGAAGAGATTGATTACTCTAACTATCAGAGACAAGATCTATCTACAACCTCGAGTTAGAATAATTTATGCATGATATCTAACTGCTAACTATAGCCAGTATGAACTTACATAAGAATTTACAAATTACATACAAATGAGACTTGCTGATAGCGAAACTCAAACTTTGATGGGACGACATACAAAGTAAAGAACTTGCCAACCGAACCAATGTTGAACCTTGCACATTTCAAATACAAAGTTATACACTCATTGCAATCGTCTACTCGGCAGGACCACTAGCTGCTCGGGTCAATGAATCTCCCAAAATCACTGACCAAGAAAAGCTATTTGTAATAAAATAACACGATTTTCTCAGATTATGTTTAGCAATAATACCAATATTTTGTTTAGACCAGATTATTCTACTTCTTTACCACTTATTTTCTTTTCGTTAAGAAACAACACAAAGTGTCAATTACAGTTTTCTATATTTTACGTAAAAAAGAAATGTGATTTTCCTATTAATAGGCCACATTGCAAATAATAATCTTGTATTTTCATTTTTCTTTCCTTTGGTGTTTTTACTTGCATTTAATCAATATGCTTTCAATTTGTTTTTGCGTTCATTTATTTTGTCAATTGAGTTGATTTTCCCGTTTATGTTTTTGCGCACATCTTCCCATTAAAAAAAAAAACGTATATTGACAGAAATTTTGCGTCACATAATTTTATTTTAACGGACTAACTAACAGAATGAAAATACAAAGACGAAAATGCAAGGGTTAAAAATACTACAAGGTCAAATGATAAACTGTAAATTACTGGAACAATTAGCGTAAAGTGTTAAAGTGGGTATTAATCCTTAAACAAAAGTATGTTTAGTTTAGTAGTTAATTAATTAATTAATTAAAGTTGGTAATTATTACCTATAAAATAAAGATCGAAGTGAGTATTTATCAAATATAGCCAAATATTAGCCTCTAGTCTAGTTTCAAAAATGTCAGTTTTTATAAAACCTTTAAATATATTCAAAATATCACTTAAATAGACACAAATACCCTTAACTTATACAAATAACTAGTTGTTAATTAAAAAATTCTTGAGATAATCAAGTGTCCCTTTCACTAATTTTTCTAATATGCACCCGAATAATTTCTATTCCGTAAACCTTAAAAATATGTTTTTTGCACTTTCTAAGAACACAACAAATCTCTCGATTCACTACCACAATCAATGATAACCTTCAAAACAGAATCCTGACACGACAACACCCTTAATAATGCAAAGGTTTGAAAAATTAAATACGAAGCACATATAATCCAAAGGAAATTTCAGATAAATAATGTTACAAAAATTGACAGTTCATTATTCGATAAATATTCAATCCAAGGAAGAAACTATAAAAGCAAAGAGAAAACGTAGATGAGGAAAAATGTAAAAAATTAACCATCTACACTCATCTTTGTTTAGGGGTGCACAATTCTCCACCCAGAGTCAATGCCTTCAATTGCTCTCCATCCATTTGTAAGTTTAGCCATGAGAACTCTTCATCTAATAGGGTTTTGGTTTTTAATTTATTAGGTTTAGTTTAAGAATATTTACGTCTGGTTAAGTGATATTTTGGATATATTTGAAAGTTTCATACAAACTGACATTTTTGAAATTAAATGGTAATATTTGTCTATATTTGATAAATACTCGATGGAATCGCCGGAGAGAGGAAGAAAGAGACATGGGTGCATCGTATTTGGCAGAACAACGCTCAGAAGGATAACAAGAAACATCACTACATTATTGCGTCGATGCCGATTCCATCCCTTTGATTCAACCGAG